ACAAGTAACTTGAGATGTTTTGTCTTTAATAGGCAAGGTATCAAATGCAAGGATTATTATTATAAAAACAGAGCTTGTACTGTGTCTAAATCATGCTACAATATATGTGGTTTGAAGGAGCGATCATTCCTGGCTGGATTATTTTTTCTGGCATCAGTTATTAGTTTAGTGATTCGATTGGAACCATCACGTAACACAAGGCAGTAATTTTGTGTTTTATGACCTTTTTTAATCTTTACAAGTACAGAAAGTGAAGGAGTAATCCTTTCCATTTGCCAAGCCTCCAATCTTGGACATATGCCAGAATGGCAACTCTGCTCATGATTCCTGCCTCTCCTGTTTCTCTTGAGCTATATGGTTAATGTCAAATTTGATGTGTTACCGGTGGCATTTGAAACTGCATGTAAGAAACTGGTAGAATTGAGAGCACTTTACTCTAAAAGCATTTCAATGTTACAGTCAAACTCAATTGCAATGCTCTTTATGATAATGCTGTTTCACTTACAACATAATTGTGGTGTGAATCCTGACATTTGTTTGCCTACAAACACACAGTCACTACACTTCACAATAAAATCCTGTGAAGTGCCTTGAGACATCTCGACAATGTGATAAGCACTATATCAAATGCAATGATTATTATTTGTTAACCGAAAAGTCCAAAATTATGCTCAGAAAGTTAGGCAACTCACTTCATAATTCTGGCAGGCTTCTCACAAGCTAAAAATGGCCAACCTTCAGGTCATGAGGTCACTACTGTCATCACTTTCTGCATTTATTTGCAATGAGTAATGAAGTGCTGATCGGGATTTGCACCCCATTATAACGCTGGTTGCGAATTCATGCACTCCCAATTATTGCTTTCAACGGAGCTCTTTTGTATTTATAACACAAAAAGAACATTTAAGATTTCAAGTCCCAGTGATGAACAATTGTTTTCTTTAGCAGTATTTAGTAAAATAATACTCGAAAAATAATACTTTGAATGATAAAATAGTTAAAGAAATAAAAAATAGTTGGACTCCAGTAGCAATTTAGCTATGATCTCCAAAGCAAAGGTCTTAAAATGTTCTCTCTATTGGTTGCCTTCCTTCTAAAAATTTTAAAGGTAATCGAGCAAAACTCCAAATTATCTAACCCACAAAGTGACTTGACCCTGATTAGTTGCTGTCTATGGTATGGTAGGTACTTGGTTCCATTTCAGGAATCAACTTATTCCACAGAGCATTTGATCATCTCTACCAATGACATTGTCCTTTGAGTTTTTATCCCCAATTATAACCATGAATCCACTTATGTGCAAAGAAATTAATCAAGTACTCAAGTACTAACTACTTTATAGGATTTGATGAAATGCATATGTGTATGCATGTGTTTGGGCTGGGAGGGAGATTCTAATTATAGGAATTATTTCAGGCTAATTTTTTGGGGTTAATCATGTAGTCTGTGCAAAGAAAAGCTTCCACTTGGGATCTTATACTTGAAGCTACCCATGCTTTTGTGAAAATGTACGAATCGCCCATAAAATACACTTTGAGACGTCCTCATGACAACAAAAGGCACTATATCAAATATGAGGATTATCAATTAATTATATTATTATGTGCAATTGCTCAAGAAACTTCAATATAAGCATTAAAAAGTGTAATGATAACATTTGGTTTCACAGGCAGAGATGTTGGAGTCACGAGCAATCCTGTTTTGATTAAATTCTATTGTTTCAGTGAATGCTTTTTTGGCATGCACTCTTTCCCCATTAGGACTAAGCACAACTTGTAAAATTTGTACTACCTCTCACTGGGGAAAGACTTTCTTCTCCACGCTCTTTGTCCTACCCCTACAAACAAATAACAGTAACCCGCAGTATAGGTCCATATAAAACCAATTGCCCATTACATTTTGTTACCCAGTTAATGGACTTTGAAAGAGTATAGGGCCCACTTGGATTTGTAAGAATATCCTGGCCCCAAGACTAAGTGAGTGCTCACCAAACTCAGCTACCTGGGATACTAACACTCAGAAACTGAACACGTACATTTGTTCAGTTTCCTGGATGTATGGTCCTTGTTTTGCTCAGCTGGCACACAGCTAAATTCAGACCTGATGAAGTCCTTTATGATCAAAAAGCATAATTTTGTTTTATTAGTTTAAACTCCATTCTGTTCAAATTAAAGCAATTTTCTGCATTTTAGAAGCTCATTCGTTTGATGAATGCTACTGAAGTAAAACAGTGAAACTGACAAGCTGTGGGGCTTTAACTACCCTATACTCAAATAAACCTAAGCAAGCAATTTTTAAAATAAAATAAAATTGTATAATTTTAAAATCAATCGATTAATAAAAAATCTGTAGCTCTAAAAATCAGCTCTTAATCATTTCATTTTCCAGTGTATTCATTTATTTTACCAGAAACCAAAAGCTTTGTTTGTGTGAGTTCCACGTAAGTGGATCTATCTAGTTGTCTAAAGCAAGTCCTCAAATGTGTAAAACATATGTAACAGAATTAGTGAAGAATGTTGAAATTAAAGGGCAAACCTGATACAACACACCCTGGTTGAGCTTAGTGTGTAAGTCAGTTGTGGACTCATGCTCACCATAGTATACCCAGCCTCCAGTGATGATCAGTTGGCTTCCTTCATGAACGTTGCTGCTGTCACTTCCTGGGTTTTGCGCACCTGTCAGTAGGAAGCATGGCTGATGTCACTTAATGTGCACTGTGGAACAGTGTGGAAACATAGAAGCTTTATATTGCAAAAGGGGATTATGAAATATAGGCAGATATAGTTCCGGAAAGACTATCCAATATTGTTTTCATACTATACACTTGTGGATATGCCCTGCCTCAATCCTCCATGTTTCCTCCTTTTTGCCCGTCTTCAAATCTCACATGAAAACTTTTCTCTTCGACCATACCTTCAGTTACCTCCCCTCTCTTTCTAGTTCTGAATCAAACTATAGTGCTGTTAAGCACTTTGAGATGCTATTTACATGAAGGGAGTTAATGCTCGCTTTGTTATAGCACCTTATCGTGTCGTTGAGACATCTCAAAGAACTTCACAGAAAATATTGTAAAGTAGGTTCACTGTGGGATATGATTGTGGGATATGACTGTGCGGCAGCCTGTTGCGCACAGTTGTATCCCACAAGCATTCTTTCCTGGATCCACAAACAGTTATGGATTGAGTGACCAANTTTTTTTTAGGAGGGATTATTACTCACAGAAAGTGATCCGCCAATCGACTAGCAACTGGGTTCCTACTTACTGCTAGGTAAACAGATACATGTGAAGTAAGGAAACTTGTCTAAGGTTTTGCCCTGCCCAGGAATCGAACCCGGGTCCTCTCGTTTGCGAGGCGAGCTCACTAACCACTATGCTACAGGACTCCACAATACAAATGCAAGTTGTTGTTGTTACATTTTATAAACTTGACCTTGGTGTAATTACATACTAGAATTACAATATGGTGAACTGTTTTAAAGTTTCTGATTTCCAGAGAAGTGTTGCCAACACTAAAGAATTCTCTGCAGTGACTCTTGCATCTGTTTTTAAAGGTTACCTAATAGCTAGACTATGATCAGTATTCTGTACTGTTGTAGTTATAATATTTAGAATGTTAATTCCTGAAAGATTGCACTGCCTAACATTTTGGATGCACAGTAAGGTGACTTGGTACCTTGACGCTCCCGTCATACCTTCTCTGTGTGTAGGGTAGCAATGTCACGTTTGAGCAGCTCTTGCTTTACTAAAGCTTCAAGTGACTGTACAGAAGGAAATTAAAATTAAAAAGAAAATAACCAATAATAAAAAGTGACCATATCCAGTGTGCAATGTGCAGAAAAAAATGAGCACATTGCAGGCTCGAAAGTGTTTACTCAAAAGCAGTTTAGAGAAACACAAATTCTTGGTGATAATGATAAAGTATCAGAGATTCTTCAGATGACACAGAAATCATGTTGCTCTATGCATGGTTATTTCACAGACGATCATCTGCCACATTATTGGCATAGGAGCTTGAAATTTGTATTTTTGGCTCTTTCAAACATACTTCAAATAGGTGCAAGGTCATCTGTAACCCTGACATGAAAACAGACATTTCATCCTGGTCTCCTCTAATAGTCATTCTCAATGGGTGGCACTATTATGAAGGGTACAACCTGATACTAAGACTTTGAGATGTTCTGTGCAAGTCATCAAACCTCCTGAGAAGCCTGAAAGTCTTTAAGGAGACACTTTTCGACTAAACTGTTTAATTATAAGGGAAAGATATATCCTGTGAAATAAGTCCCAAAATTAAAGCAATGGGAATTATGTGGTACTGTTGTAAATTGCTTTAACAAGATTGCAAGATTGGTTTGGATGAAGAAAGCCCATTAGATTTCATCCTTTCAGAATATGCATTCTACCATCTGCACATCACAACACTGAGTTGTTTTTTAAATTAATCCAGTGTCTGGGTCTCAAACACCATTCCTAGCAATCCGTTCCAGTCATAAATTGTCCTCTTGATAAAGTCTAAATCTTTGTTCTCTTGCTCTACAGTCTTGGTGCAACCTGAAGTATTGTTTTAGGGTTACTTTTTGTACACCTCTAGAAGAACCCCTCAGACATCTTCTCTCAAGACTGAAGAGCCCTATCTTATCTAATCCTTGTTCAATTAAGAAAGTCTAGAGAAAGAAAGAACTTGCATTTTCATAGCTCCTCAACACATCAAAATATCTCAAAGCACATGACAGCAATTACTGTCAAGTGGAGTGACTGTAACAGACGGATAGGCAAATGTAGCAGCCATTTCACCGAGCAAGTTTTCACCAATGGCCATGAGGTGATTTATCAGTTTATCTGGAGCATTGTTGACCAAGACACTGGTGGCGGGGGGGGGGAACTCAGTTTGTTTGCAAATGTGTTCTGTATCAAGATGTTCTTTTATTTCATTTTAAATTGCATAGGGTTCTTTGGCTGGTCAATAAATCTTTAATCACCTTTCCAATCTTCTGTGCAGGTGAAAGATGAAAAATCAAATAATCTAAAAGGGAAGCCGTACTCGAGTACTAAAGAAAAAAAATCCCAGAAAAAGAAGAAACCGCCAGATTCTGCAGGTAAGCAACTGAAATATTTTGCCAGTGTATTAGATTGAACGCAACACACAGTGCAAAAGCATCTCTTTTCTTCTTTCTTGTCACAGTGAGTTCAGCTCAGAAGAATGCACTCATTTTGTCTGATAAGAAGATTCAGAAATTAAATAAAGAAAATGTTGACAAATCTAGTGTCCTAGTGGTTCAGGGAGATGTCAAAGAAGCTCATCTCCTGGCAGAACAGAGAACTCCAACAAAACTCAAAGAAAAGCCACTTGAAGAGGAGGATGGAGCCTTTGAGTCAGAGTCTTCAAGCCCTACAAAGAGCATTGCCCCAGATGTGGCTGACACTGTTTTGGAGGCTTACTCTGGTGACGAGAACAAAGATGAATGCATAACTGAGGAGGAGCAAAGTGAAAAGGATGAATCAGAGGAGAGTGAGCAAACAACTGATGAGCCAGAGAAAACAAGAATTATGATCGAAAACCTAAAACAAGGGGCAAAAGGGGCTGAAGAAAAGATGGATGAAGTATACAAAGAGCTAATTATGGAACATAAGGCTAAAGAAGAAAGTGAACCTTCAATAAAAGAAGAAAATGAACCTCTAATAAAAGAAGAAACTGAACCTCTAATAATAGACGAGAATGAAGAAGCAGAAGGAAAAGACATACAAGCCGATAAATCCAATAAAGTAGTTGAGCTGGATTTATGTGAAGACACAGGCTCAGACGTTATCATTATGGAGGAATCCAAAAGCACCGTAGAAGTTTTGCCAATGGAGGAAGTACCCGAGGGTCAAGAGCTTGTTGGGCATAGCAAGAACTGCATTGTCTTGCTTCAGAGGTACTTTGTTTAATTAATCTAGTTAATTAAACTGCACTCGATGTGTAGATTAAGAAAAAAGTTTAAGTGGAAAACTTTGTAACGTTTGCTTCAATGAGAAAAAGTTCAGTCGTGTGAGTGTCTCCTTATATGTTAGAGTGCTATGTCGTGAAATCAATATTATTGGAATTCTCTGAACTCTCTTCAATTTTTTTTTGGAAGGGGGACGATCAGCTGGGTGTCTGACACATGCAGAAAGCCAACCATCACCACACTTAAGAGTATCCAAACCAAACTGAGAATTCCATGCATCCCACCTACACATAGAAATTCCAGAGATAGATTGTTGGAATGGAATGTGCACTCCCTTCCTGGAGGGATGCCTCCTGCTTACCTAATTCCAGAAAGTATTAGGCAAGAGCCCTCTTCAGCAAGTTGCAATGACCCTTTTAAGGTCGAGCATGTATAATGAGGAAGGGAAATGAGGAATTCAATGTGATAGTGATCATTCAAACCTATGGTTAAAGCAGGGATGTGAAGGATAGAGGCTTGAAGGGGTATGGGTATAAGGCAGTGGGATCAAATAAATATCTTGCTCTGAGAACTCCTGCAGCCTCATTGGGCCATATGTCCTCCTTCTGCATTGTAAATTTGATTGTAGGATGGGCAGAGCAGAAGTTAAAATCAATGTTATATCACATGCATGTTTCCTGTTTGCATTTGAAAGATATGAAGATAGTGAAACCGAAGCTGGTGCTTTCCTAGCAGCTGCAGCAGAGCCTGAAGTCTCAGCAGAACCAGAGGCCGTAGCTTCAGACAATACTGAGCTAAGTGAAGCCAGGTCCCTCGGCACTCCCAGTAAAAAAAGAGTGACTGATGAAGACCTGATTAAGGATGACGACAAGAAGAGCAGAGTGGAGGAAAACGCCAAGAGTGAACAGAGAACAGCCCAGCCTGAGTCAAACGCAGAGATACCTGTGGACAGTCAGGAGGAAAATAAAAAACTGTCTGACAAAGCTGAGGAAGAGGAAAACACACCAGTTGTGATTGGTAAGTGTAGCCCAACTTGCTAAGAGTTTACATCCCAAAACTATGCCAGTAAATATCATTCTCCATTACGATCAGAGAGAACTTTTTTTTAGTAGCTTTGTGAAGTTTTTAAAATGTAGTTATGTACAGATATTTGTAATATCCATTTGGAATAACTATTTGAATCCATTTGTCGAAATAATACCAGCAGTTAACTTTTGGTTCAGGACTAGGTGTTTTGGACCTTTGGAGTTGCACCTCAGCCAGCCACACCCTGGATGTATTCCATACAAATGGGGTGAAACATGAGGCACGTTTTCTTACTCCACAAGCCTCTGTTTACCTAGCTTTAAGTAGGAACCCAGTTGCTTGTCAATTAGGGCATCGTTTTCTGGAGGAAATAATCCCTTCAAAAATAAAATAACAATTTGGTCACTCAATGCATGACTGTTTGTGGGACACTGCTGTGCACAGTTGGCTGCTGTGTTTTGCTCACAAAATACACAGTCAATCCACAGTATATTCTGTGAAGCACTTTGAGAAGTCTTGATGAGATTTCTCAAAGTGCTTTGAGAAGAGATGAGATAAGGATAGATAAGATAAGATGAGATAAGGCGCTATATCAAATGCAAGAATTATTATACACTACTCTCAATGTAATACTTAGAACAACTCTGATCGTGCACCATTCACCAGTTTCTTACAATGCATGATCAGAGCTGTTGTAACTATTATATTGAGAGTAGTGTATGAAATACATCTTTCTTTTTACATTAGGATCACACTCACATTATCACTATCCACTCATGTTCCTACTTCACCTATTCTTGCATCATATTACATGCGGTTTTCTAGGTCCTGAACAGGCTCTTTGTTTCTTGGCACATCCTCCTCTTTGCCTTGAAATTGTCCCTTTCTCTGCCCTCAAATCTCCCTTGGTCCCAACTTTCCTCTATGCTTGTAACCCCTGTTGTGCTCAATTTGTCTTTCTCCTTCAACCCTGAAAACTATCTAATCCTGGAAGAGCATTCGACAAAGCTTGAACTGACACAACAACAATAACAACAAGATTACATTTGTATAGCTGTGCTTATGCTACAGTAACCTAATTTTATCAGGCCTGCCTCACCTATTGGCAGGTGTGTGGGTCTCCTCAGTCTGGATGTGGCTTGTGGTGCTGTTCTCAATGTGATGTTAAAATGAGAATCATAAAGCAAATAAGCTAAACTGGGGAGAACAGCTTCAGCAAAGTTCTGCTCGGCCTATAAGTGGGACCAGAAGTGAGTCCAATATTTCAAAGTGTGTCCTATGAGTTATTTTGTCACGAATATCAGCTATCAGCCTGGCTCAGTTGGAGGCCCTCTCATTTCTGAATCAGAAGATTGTGGGTTCAAACCCAATGTTGGGAATTTAGCCTCGTAGTCTAGACTAATATTCCACTGCAGGCCTGGGAAGGTGCTGTGGTTGTCTACAAATAACCAGTCACTACACATTACAGAAAAGTCTGAAGCACTTTGGGACATTTCAGCATTATAGACATTTTATCAATACAAGGATGATTATTATTATTAATAATGTTTTCAGTGATAAAGAAGTCTATGTTTCTACATCCCAGTGATCTGAAGCACAGAATAAAGGAACATATTATATAGAGCATTTCACATTAAGAGATTGGCTTAAAGCACTTCATATAACTGACTGGGAGCCCAAGCTTGGAGTAGCTGAGGAGGGACGGCAAAAAATATCTGGAAGCCAGTTAAAGAGATAGAGGATTGAGTGAGGTTACGAGGCATTTAAAAGTAAAGACAAGAATCTTTAATTGGATTCCCTGAGGATGAGGAGCCAGTGGAGCTAAGCAAGAATTGGGGGGCTGATGGACTTACAGAGCCTGGTATAGGAGAGGACACAACCAATGTAACGCTTTGGTGTCCTTTGCATTCCTCTCTTGTACTAAACGGAGGGGCTAAAATGTTAACATACTTCATGTTTCCTGACCTAGATGACAGCCCTCCCGCTCCTGCACCATTTGAACATCGGATTGTCTCAGCCAAACCAGCAAAGATCAGCAACCACTATACTGTCCACAAATCGGATGTTCTTGGAGGGTCAGTTATCTTTAGATTTTATTTGAAAACTATAGTACAATAAATAAATGATTCAGTGTCTTTTTGGCAAATCCAGGAGAGGGAATATTGGAACATACTTGGTGGTGTTTCTTTTTGCATTGTAATGGCTTATTTCACTATGTTTAGCTTTTAACTGTCACAGTTTTTGGTAAGCATAGAAAAAATGTTGAGCAAATGATTTTTTTGCAAATACCATATCCTTTATACATTGTACCATCTGCCTACCTGCAAATTTACCACAATTTCTGAGTAAGGAGGTTGTGGACTTGAACCTCACATAGTCTCGGCAGACCTTTCAGTGCAATGCTGGGGATGTGCTACGTGTTGCAGGTGCCGTCCTTTGGATGAGGCGATAAACTGAGGTCCAATCTGTCTGGTCAGGTGGATCTTAAAAATCCCATGGCACCATCTGAAAAAAGAAGAGAGTTTCTCCCGGTGTCCAAATTAACAGTCCCTCAGCAAAAAATGGAATTCACTTCATGGCTGTTTGTGCGACATTAATGTGTGCATATTGTTTGCCACATTCGCCAACATGTATGCAGCAATTAGACATTTGACTTAATAAGGCATGATATAAAATTAAAAGATTATTATTATTCAATCAAAAATCCTATCACTCTGGGTTAGATTTATTGTATCTTTATGCCCTTAGTTTGGGAATTGGGAGAATATCCTGGGTAAAAAGGCAGGAGTGAAAATAATGCAATGCTCTTAAAATATTCTAATAATGAACACAGTTGCTTCCTAACTGCAATGTTAAACATGTAGGTGAATAGTCAAGCAACGTTCTGCACTTGCACTGTCAGATTTTTTTTCTTTCTTACTTTGGGAGGTTTGTAAAGATTTTCATTAAATGCATACGATATGACATTTTTAATAGTCAAATAGTTGTGCCCAGAACTATTATTAATATTATTCAGAAAATGTATAAGTTCTGTTTTCATATGATTTTTCTCATAATACATTGTTACTTGTGTAACATGCTTATTTGTTTCAGAGGGCGATTTGGACAAGTACACAAGTGTGTAGAGAAATCAACAGGTCTCACCTTAGCTGCTAAGATTATTAAAGTCAGATTCGTAAAGGATAAGGTACAGTATATACCAGAGACAGAATGATGAAAATTACTCCCTTTAGATTAGGCATCACTTGATATAATTTGACTTTCTCTGACCCACCTTACATCTGTGACCTCCTGCTTCCCAATTACACCCGGCTGTTCACTCTGCTCTGTGAACTTTGGCCTGCTTCATTACCCCTGACCATTTGCCCCACCTTTGGTGGGTAAGCTTTAAGCCGTTCTGCCTCTGCTCTTTGGAATTCCATCCTGAAGTCTTCTCCTCGATCCTCCTGCCCACGTTTAAAATCCACTTTAAGAATTTTCTTTTTGACTCTGTGAAAAGCTCTGTGAAATGCCGTGATATGTCCCGACGTGAAAGACACTATGTAAATGTAAAATTGTTGCTGTTTTCACTGACTAACAGGAGGAAGTAAAGAATGAAATCCAAGTCATGAACCAGCTAAATCACACAAACCTCATCCAACTCTACGATGCTTTTGAATCAAAGAATGACATTATTCTGATCATGGAATAGTAAGAACTGCTCATTTTCTTTGCTTTCAGCACTTTTTTAATGCTGGACATTTGATAGCGTAAATTGTGAGATACTATTTCCACTAGAAATATTTCCATTTTACTTAAGAGTATCCAAGAAATGGAGATTTCCATATATATGTGCCACCTGCTCATGGAAATTTCCTATGTCTGGAATTGAATGTGAACTCCCTTTTTGGTTGGGCACCAAATTCTGGAAAGTGTTAGGTGTAGGTTGGCAAGAGCAAAGCCTTGGCGTATTGCTAGAGTCTAACAGCTAAAATAGTGTGGCTTGTCATTATGTATACTGTTAAAACTGAATGGAATTTGCATCTAGAATTAATATTCTCAATCTAATCTTGTTAAACCTCTTGAGCTGAAATTTCCAGTCAGCATTAGATGTAGCACCTTTGGTGATGTCTGAATATAATGGGATAATAAATCCCATTTATGGCCAACATTGCCAAAGGCTCTATGTATAACATTGACCTGATTTGAACCAGGCCCAGCATCTATTAACTAAAAATTATCAGATGATATTGTAACAATTTAGTTTAAAAGAGTGTATTGTTTTAATTTCTTTCCTTAGTATTGAAGGTGGAGAACTATTTGACAGGATAATAGATGAGAGCTGCAATTTAACAGAACTAGACACAATCTTGCTCACAAGGCAGATTTGCGAAGGGCTTCGGTACATGCACCAGATGTATATTGTTCACCTGGATCTGAAGGTATGTAGCAAGAGAAATATCAAAAAAATGCAAGGATTAATTTAACTTATTATGAAATGCCTTCTTACAGTGGAACCACATTACGAAGTGTTTATTCGTTTATTGCATGCTTGGGATGTGGACTGAATTTATACTTATTAGTTTCTTATATGTACGAAATGCAATGTAATGACTATACACCACATAGAATAACCTAATCATAATTACTATATCACTTAATTTGGTCACTATATATAATTATATAAAATGATCAAATCCTTATACATTATTTAACCCATGCTGATCATTAAGTATTATTTAAAGTTACCAAACTATAGTATACAGTTTCAAGTAATAGTTCAGCTGAGGTGAGATGAAGTTCAGTGATGGTTTTTACTGCGCTGTTGCTGTTTATGTTTATGTTATTGCTTGAATTTCCTATTGCTTGTGTTCCAAATCCAATCCCCAGTGTCTTCATTAGTATAATATGGCAGAATGGTGCTGAAAAGTTTTAATATTTTCAGGCTAACCTTGTTAAACTTCTTGCACAGGGCTAAATTTTGTTTGAGGTGAAAATTTTGATCAGTATTTGTTTGACATGGTTTCTGACACATTTATTCTGTTTCTAAACCCTCAGCCTGAGAATATCTTGTGTGTTAACCGAGTAACCAATCAAGTAAAGATAATTGACTTTGGCTTTGCGAGAAGGTAAGACATGTTATCAGCATGGCTCAGTTGGTAGCACTCTCGCTTCTAAGTCAAGAGTTTGTGGGTTTGAGCCACATGTCGGTACTTTGAGTTTGTAGACTAGGCTGACACTCCAGTACAGGGAGAGTTGCATTGTCAGAAATACTGTCCTTCAGATGAGTCATTAAATTGAGGTCCCATCTGTCTGTTTAGGTGGACAGGCGCTATACCAAACACAACGATTATTATTGCTAAGTTCCTATTGAACTGAAGCCCCATTTCACACAATCTTACACAATACCCGATAGCAGAGATGATAAACAATGTTTTTTTCCTTTCGTGTCACAATAGAAGATATTTTTCTGTCACATTAATAAGTGGCCTGGGAACTGGCAAAACAAATGCAATATTTTACAAAGAATTTAGGTAGCAAGGACACTATGATGTTCAGTTTCCTTTTGTTAATTGATACTAAAGTGGACAAACAGAGAGGGATTAGACTAAGTGTCTTAAATGGAGAAAAGTACCTGCCAATATATGTGACCCGTAAATCCTTTTACTGTGCAAACTATGATTATGTAGGTTCAAATGCTTCCAATTTAATCTTATTAAAGTTGTAGCAAAAGGCAATGGGATCAAATCCCCCAACGGGTAATACTACTTCACGAATTTCCTTAAATGAAGAAATTCCATTTTATTGAAAAGATACCATTTCAAAAAAATCATTTTGAATTTAAAAAAATCCGATGATAATCAAAAAATGTTTGGCATCAAATCACATGAGGATTGCTTATTATTTTTCCTAGGTTCAAATCCGCCACACACGATATTGCTTCCAAAACTGTTTCCAACATATAGTATATAATTTTATTACTGTATCATTGCATTTTATACCCCACTCTCTTGAACTCCATCCCAGAGTCCCTCCAACTGGCTCCTCGTTTAAGCTCCGTCTCAAGACCAATATAATAATAGTAATAACAATAATAATCCTTGCATTTGATATAGCGCATTAACACATCATTGAGACATCTCAAAGCGCTTCACAGAACATACTGTAAATTAATTAGCTGTATATTTTGTGGGCGGAACGCGGCAGTCAATTGCGCACAGTAATGACCCACAAACAGTCGTGGATTGAGTGACCAAATTATTATTATTTTTTATGAAGGAATTATTACCCCTGGAAAAGCGATCTGCCAATCAACTAACAACTGGGTTCCAACTTACTGCTAGGTAAACAGAGGTGTGTTGAGTAAGAAAACTTGCCCAACGTTTCGCCCTGCTGGGAATCAAACCCAGGTCTCTCGCTTGTGAGGCAAGTGCTCTAACCACTGAGCTACAGGACTCCACCTACTTTTTTACCATTTTTTTTGGTCAACATCATTCCCCTCCCAGCCGCTCAACTCGTACTCTCTGTTCAGATGCCATCCAGTAATCTTAAGGGCTTTATGATGTCCTCCCAATGCTATAAAAATGGAAATTTAAATTGTTGTATTTTATTGAATTGCTGGACATGTTTGATTGAAAAGCCATCAGGTTTTGCAGAACATGTGTTATTGTTGCTTTCATTAATTGAACAGACACAGTACAACAACAGTAAAGCGCTTTGAAATGTCATCCAATGTGAAAGGCAGTACATCCAATGCGAGGATTATTATTATTAACAATAAAATAGTTTTGCTTACTTGTGATATGCCGTGCTTACTATAATTTCCATTGTTTTATTTTTTGTGTGATCTAGTTGTTGTTGAACAATATAATTCAGGTGGTTGGCGTTCGATAAAGTTAATATAAGTCTCTAATGGGATTTCCCCATTATAATCGCTTAGCACCATCATTAACAACAACCACTTGCATTTATGTAGCACCTTCCATGCTGGGTAGCATGTGTTATCAAGTCCTATAAGGTATGCTGCCCAGCATGTTAAGACTATTGAATTCAAAATGGGCTTGGGTCCAAAATGCACTGTTCACTAACTTAGGAGTTTCTCCTGGTGTCCTGGCTAACAATCCCCCAAATACAATTGGTCATTCATTTCTTGGCTGTTGTGGGCCATTGCTCTGAGCAAATGGACTGCTGTGTTCGCCTACAAAAATACAGTCAGTCCACTTCACAGTAAACATTGTAAAGAGCTTTGAGACATCCTCACTAAATGAAAGACTATATATCAAATGCAAGGATTATTATGATTATTAACTGGGTCCAACATGCACCTTTCACTGTAACTGAGTCCAATATGCACTGTTCACAAACACTGAAGAAGATTTGTTCTGCTCTTATATTAGGATTCAGATCCAGATCGAAACGCTTGCTGGTATCTGTGAACAACACATGTTGAATATTGGGGTAATAATTCCATTCAGTGTTGCACACACTACCTTTTGCCATGAATGGGAAATTCCATTCATGTGGCTGATGCTAAATGGAATTTTTACGCAATTGTGTATAACATTAAAGAGAGAGGTAATAAGTCTTTGATAAAATTATTTTATGCTTTACTATAAAATTTAAATTTAGAGATATTAAAATATAGATTCCTCCTTGTCCAGACAAATGGTTAAAATTCAGGAAGTAATCTGGTTTTGTCTTTAATATAGGTGTTACTGGTATATACCATTTTACAGGTGAATGGATGGAGATGACTAAGATCTAATTTCAACTTGTTTGTCTTTTATATTAGATATAAGCCTCGAGAAAAACTAAAAATACATTTTGGGACTCCAGAATTCCTCTCTCCTGAAGTTGTTAATTATGATTTTGTGTCATTTCCTACGGATATGTGGAGCCTGGGAGTAATTACCTACATGTTGTAAGTATAATACAGGGGCTCGGAGGGGGAGTGGGGGAATCAGAGGGAATCATATTCTAAATTTATCACCTCCATTCTTCTTATTCCATACGGAGGCCTTTTTCCTTGTTTCTCTCCTGCACTGTGTAATTGAGAGATGACAATAGAGCAATTCTGTACAATGCAAGGGAGGGTTAGAAGAATGCAAAAATGCACAGAGCAAGGTAAGAACAACCAACCATGATATTAAACCTGCTGTAAATCATTGGACAGCTGGATTCAGTGTATTTGCTCAAATCACTGCCAAGTCCAGGGGAAACTGTCTGTGGAAGTGCAATCATGAACTTTCAGATCGATGTAACTCAAAGGGCAGCAGCTATAATCTGACTTTCCTCTACCCTGCAGACATTGCAGCCCCAAAACTCTGCTGACACACAGATAAATGCTGCCTCACCTTGCAAAACTTGCTACAAATGTCAGTATTCCTCATTTACATCAATAAATTATAGTGCACAGATACTTGCTGGCCCTGCACTAATTTTCCCATTCTCTGGAATTAAAAAAAATGTTTTAGTCAGCCAGGTGTCTCACACATGCAGAAACCTTTCCCTAGTTCTTAAGAGTATCCAAAAAAGACTGGCATTCCACATCTGTATGCCACCTTTGCATGGAAATTTCTGTCTGGATAGAATGAGCACTCTCTCCCTAGAGGGATGCATCCTAATTATCTATTTCCAGTGAGGGGAGGCTTGGGGATTCTTTGGGGTGCAGGTTGGGGATAGTTAAGGCTTGGGGACCCTATAGTGTGGCACGCTACAAAATGTACACAATCACTCCATCTTACAGTATTCCCTTTGTGACGTCTCAGTGATATGATACTGCATTGTATCAAATGGAAGGATTATTATTATATCATTACCTAAACTGCTACAAAAGATTGCCTCAATTCTGATCTTTGTTATCAAGCATGTCACCTTGGAGCCAACTCAACTCAGCTTAGCTCTCTGGAGAACATGTCAACCTCATCGCCGCCCCGCCCACAAAATAGTCAAATTTCAGGGAATAGGCAGTATTTTATACTATACTATTGAATCAGTACACTTTTGTGGCCTGTGTAAAAATAATCCTTCCCAGTGCAATGGTTTGAAATGTTCCCTTTTGTACAAGTTATAAGGGTCCTATGTGAAATGAGTTCAGACAACCTTAGTAGCATTCTGAGTGAACACAAACTTATAGATTACTAGCTGTACCTGTTGCAACTTCGCTTGCAACCAAAGGATCCAATATGGAATATAGATTGACACACAGACAGACATTTCATTTTTATCTATACTTAGCTGGGAGGACTCCTTTTGGGAGGACTCAGTGGAAGGACTCCTTTAATATATTTTCTCTCAGTCTCTCTCTCTCAATCTCTCTCTATCTGTCTCTCTCAGTCTCTCTTAGTCTCGCTCTCTCTCAGTCTCTCTCTCTCTGTCTATCCCTCAGTGTCTCTCTCAGTCTCTCTCCCAGTCTCCCTATCTCTCTCTCTCAGTCTCTCTCTCACTGTCTCAGTCTCTCTCTTTCTCTCTCAGTCTCTCTCTCCCAGTCTCTCTCTGTGACTCTCTTCCAGTCTCACTCTCAGTCTCTTTCAGTCTCTCTCGTCTCTTTCTCTCAGCCTGTCTCTCTCAGTCTTTCTCTGTCTCTCCCACAAAACACACAGTCCCTACACTTTATAATATATTCTCTCTTAGTCTCTCTCTCTCTCTCTCTCTCTCTCTCAGTCATTCTCACGATCTCAGTCTCTTTTTCTCAGTCTCTCTCTGTCTGTCCCACAAGGGAGGACTTTAACTCTCATGACAACCAGAAAAAAGTCCCATTCATTTGTTGCAGAATATAGATGTATCTCTCTGAACGGTGTCTGCTTTCCTCTGTTGCTACGTAGCTACAAAATACGATGCATACCTCATATTTTGGCGCTTAATTAAAGCATTTTTTAATATATCTCCTCATCAACGATAGGAGTTCCCCCTCAAAACAAATATGCCCATGACACTGTCAGATGAGGTATAAATCATGTCCCTGCTTCAATCGGTTATTGGATGATTGATGGATACACGACACACAGACAAACAGACATTGTCGTTTTATAAGTATAGGTAAGAACTGACTTGGTGATTCCATTGCCTGCCTTGGCATTGCCTGTCCAGCTTGGACCTCCCTACCAAGTTTGATCCCACCTGTGTTGCATTATCCGAATGCAGCAGTTTGATGCCATCTGTGTTGCATCTCACCCAACGGACCAGCAAGCATGCTATAGTTGGCATAGATTTTCCCTGGTTTAGAATGGGAAAATCAACCTAGGCTCACGCTACTGTTAGAAAGCCATTCAGCAACTGATGTCCATGCAATAGCACACCAGCATAAAGTAAATATAGTCAAATGGCTTGAGAGATTAGCAACAAATGAATGAAGACCATTAGAAGACATCTGAGATATATTTGTGATTTTAAAGAAATTAATATGTATCTCAAATCTGTAATGTAAATTCCAGGAAATGCTGCCATAAAAGTAAATTATTTCTGAGATATTTACAGACAAACTTTGTTGCATTCTGTTAGCAGATGGACATTTTTGACATTTGAAAACCTCGTAATATTATTTCAGTGTGTGTCTTGTGAAATATGCCTTCAGGACTCTGAGTCAACAGTACCATCGTCCCATTGCCTGCTTTTGTTGGCAGATCCAACCAGCTAACCTCAGCTCTGCTCCAGCTAATGTCTCAGCAGTATTTATCCGACAATGTTCATTACCAATTAGCAGAGGTCCAAGTTAAGCAGGCCCCTCCCAATGGCATCTCGTTCAGTGTGTCCTGCAGTCTACTTCCCTCTGAACAAATCTTTACCGTCCATTCCAAAAACGTTTGTAATTACCATAATCAAATATCCTTGTAGTTCTGCTTAATTAACTTCTCACTCTCACTCTGAATCAAGCCGCCTCCTTAGGGGCAGTCAACCAGAAAACCTCCTTAGATGATCTGCATTCCTCAGTCGCACTGAATCCCCATACAGGAAAACTATTGAAAGTTAAAAGCATTCAGTCAGTGCAGTTGAAAAATAATTATATTCACTTAAAAGCATTGTGAATGTAAGAGAGACTTTGTGCTAATTGTAGCTAATAATTGAATTGAACATGTGGAACATATGGCTTTACCAGCATTCATGTACAAAACAGGGGGAACGAATGCAGTATGTGGTGTGATAATTACCACCAGGACTTAAAATCACATCACGTTGTCTATCTCTCACCTTCCTCCCAAAGTAATTTCACAGTTACTATGCTTTTTGGTTTAGAAACAGTTTCTTCAGCTTAGTTAGGTGGTAAACAAGTCTTTACAGTGAACAAAATAATTGATTATTACAGAACAGGTATACAATAAGCAACTTGCATTTATACACTGCCCTTCATACGGGCAATGTCTCAGAGTGCTTAACTTAATAGGTTTAATGTTTTAAACTGATTTTGAGGTGTTCTGTTTTTTCTTGCTGTTACTCACTGCACCATTCAATAACAAAAGCTTGCACCACCCTGACCAAAACATGAGTTAGAGAGCTGCTCTCAAAGCTTGTGACATACACATTCCACTTTGCAGTAAATCCTGTGAAGTGCTTTGAGACATCCTATCAAAGTGAAAGGTGCTATATCAAATGTATGGATGATTATTATTATCTAGGAGATGGTGGATGAATATGATCTAGGGGAATGTCCAATATTTTTCCCTTTCTCACTGTGAGGTAGCACCTGGATCCACTTGCCACATCAACACAAACTGACACCATCAAAAATGACAGCCATTAAACAACGTTCATTCCTTACTCACAACATTCTTATCTCAACAGCACTACTGTCACCCTGGAATATAGCAACCCCAAACAATTTCAGGGCCAAAGGGGTCCCTTGGAATAGTCGGGGAGAACAAGGGACATCTCTGATACCCAGTTAAGCACTCCACATCTGATTTAATTAGATCATCTTACTCTCGTGAATTCTAGCGAAACTGGTGCATACCACGGTCAACATATTGTAGCTAGAATTAGGGACATAAGGCTGTCCAAGGTCAGAAAAGACCATTATAGTCCAATGGTCTATCTCACTTTGAGAAAGAAATGAGAGGCAACTATCTTACTATGTTTACTCTTTGATATGGATTTATACTCATTAAGAAATCCAATTCATTTTCATCAGCAGTTTCCCACTGTACTTAGCCTACACTTTAATGTATTCCTTTTGTTTTGGTTTCTTTCCGTTTATACTTCAAATACTGAAAGCCCTTTCCACAAAGATCTCGAGAGTCCAAAATAATAGGGATATAATTGGTACTTCTACATTTCCCAATGGGGTTTATTAATAAGTAAGATAAGATGGATGGTGGGATTGAAGTGATCTCCTTCCTGTGTGAGTCAGTATGAGCTAGATGGGCAGAATGGCCTCTTTCTGCCCTGTAGATTTCTATGTTTTTAATCCAAGTCACTCAAGTAACCAGAAGTGCAATGTGTTGATCTATGACAACTCTACTTCGGAGTAGAATCTAAGGAAATTTAAATGATATTCCTTATTATGTAATTCCATTCTGATATATTGCAAATTACACTCAATTTGTTAAGGGCAAAGATTGCAACTTTTATATTGATGGCTCATGACAAACATTGACAGAGTTAAGATCAGTGCTGTCCTGATTATTTTCTTATTACTGGTGTTATTTGTGTTATTTTACTAAGTTTCAGCTGCACACTGCTAAATCTAATGGTTGATGATTGCTCCAGGTATCCTCCATTGCTGACTGTGGTCTGTCCTTGGTATGGAAGGATGCATGTGAATTAATGGGTGTTAAAAAAAAGGTTCCAACAAATGAATAGAATTTGAAATGTTTATTCTGTTTGGTCTGGAAGACAATTATTCGTAGGAACATAGGAACAGGAGGAGGCCATAGGAACATAGGAACATAGGAACAGGAGGAGGCCATTCAGCCCTTCGAGCCTGTTTCACCATTTAATTAGATCATGGCTGATCTGTACAACTAATCTTTTCAATTCCAATTTCTCGCTTTCTCCCCATATCCCTTAATACTCTGACCTACCAAAAATCTATCAACCTCACTCTTGAAGGTGTGGATGGTTCCAACATCCATGGCCTTTTCGGGGAGAGCATTCCAGATTTCTACCACCCTTTGAGTGGAAAAATTCTTCCTGATTTCATTCTTAAATGCCTGGTTCTAATTTTAAGACTATGCCCCCTTGCTTTGGATTCCCGACCGGAAGAAATAACTTTTCTGTATCTACACGATTGGAGCTTTTGCATTTTAGGGGTATGTTCTTGTTCTGTATTGTATCAAATACTTTTTTGAATACTTCCCATTGTTCATCTGCAAGTTCACCCATTAACACTTCAGCCCAGTTTATTGTGGTCAATATATTTCTCATTCCATCAAAGCTTGCCTTACTTAAATTTAAAACCTTGGTTTGGGACTCTCCCTTTTCCCTCTCAAATCCAATTTAATTGTATTACAATGGAAACAACAACAAAATTATATTTGTATAGCGCCTTTAATGTAGGGAGGACGTCCCATTGCCCTGGACAGACAAGAGTTTTGGACCCGAGCTGGGGGTCGGGATCGGGGCAGGTGGAGGGCAGTGGGTAAAGCAAGTGATCGAAAGCACGGTCGAAGAGGAGAGTCTTGAGATGGGTCTTGAAGCAGGCAAGGGAGAGGGAGAGGTGGAGGGACTGCGGGATGGAGTTCCAGAGGGTGGGAGCAGAGTGGCAGAAGTCCCGCCCACCAATAGTGGGGCGAGTGACGTGGGAGACATGAAGCAGGCTAGAGCCCGCTGAGCGGAGGGAGCGAGCAGTTTGGTAGGGGGTTAGAAGGTTGCAGAGTAGGGGGGAGCAAGACCATGGAAGGCTTTGAAGGTGAGTACTAAGATCTTGTACAGTATCCTCTGTGTGATGGGAAGCCAGTGGAGTCGGGCGAGGATGGGGCTGATAGGTGCAGGAGAGGACATGGGCTACAGAGTTCTAGATGATCTGCAACCTATGTAGGGAGGAGTTGGGGAGCCGACAAGTAAGGAGTTTGCATAGCTTTCATTACAATCATATTATGATCACTATTTGCAAGATGTTCCTTTACTGTCAGATTGTTGACTAGTTCTGCTTCATTACTCATCACCAAATCCGGTATGGCTTGTTCCCTTGAAAGTTCTAAAACATGTTGTTCCAAAAAAACTATCCTGAATACATTTTAGAAATGTGTTGCCTTTATAATAATAATAATAATAATCCTTGCATTTGATATAGCGCTTTTCACGTCGGGAGGACGTCCCAAAGCGCTTCACAGAACACACTGTAAAGTGAATTGACTGGTATTTGTGGGCGAACGCGGCAGCCAATTGCGCACAGCAATGTCCCACAAACAGTTGTAGATTGAAAATGACCAATTTATTATTGTTTTGTTTTTTTTTGGAGGGATTATTATTAGGCGTGTGGAATAAGGAAACTTGTCTAAGTTTTCGCCCTGCCTGGAATTGAACTCAGGTCTCTCACTTGCAAAGCGAGTGCTCTAACCACTGAGCTACAGGACTCCACCGAGGTGTCCTGCTTCTCCCAGTTCTTTGTGAAAATTGAAATCTCCCATTATAACCACATTGCTCTTGCTACATGCTTCCCTGATCTCTGATTTATACATTTCCCTACTTCATCACAACTCTCAGGAGGTCTGTAGACTACTCCCAACAGAGTCTTATCTCCTTTGCTGTTCCTTACTTCTACCCACAGTGTTTCACTACCTCATCGTCCTTACTGAAATCTTTCCTTTCCACTGCTGTAATAGTGACTTTTATCAATATTGCTACTCCTCCTCCTTTCCCAATGTCCCTGTCTTTTCTAAAGATCTTATAGCCTGAAATATTTAGCTCCCAGTCCTGCCCAGCTTGTAACCAGATCTCTTTTCTACATTCCTATTTATCCTTTTCACTAGTATTCAAGCGATTCACATTTTGGCAACAGCTATTAGTCAATCACAGACTGCAGGTTTATACACAGGAGATCTTTACTGATGCATCTCCCTCCAATTTATCTTTTCCTGTTGACTCTAGGCTCACCGGACTTTCTCCATTCCTTGGAGAGGATGACAATGAGACCCTGAACAACATTCTTACCTGTAGTTGGGACTTTGACGATGAAGAATTTGACAATGTCTCAGAGGATGCCAAAGAATTCATATCCAAACTTCTCATCAAGGAAAAGGGGTACATCTGTTTATTGTACACCATACACCACGTTATAGCTTCCAGTTATTATTTGCAATCCAAGCTGTTGTTTTCATGTGGCTTTCTAAAATAGTACTCAAGAGTTATACTTTCAAATAACTTGCTGTACATTGCTAATTTTAACACTTCATTACCATAACATGTCAATCACTTGAAGGCTCATAAAAATTTATGTTACAAAGTCAATTCACCTTGAGTGTAAGTTAGATACTATTATTGCATAAAAGAATAGCAGCTCATTAATTGCCATTTAGTAAAATACAAATTGTCTAATGTTCTTCTTACAAGTAGTAATGGGAGTGAGAGGTGAAGAAATACCTATAAATAATATACTAATGTCAAATTGTTAATATAGTTTATTTATATAAGTGCTCCCTGAAAATCAGTTGGTCTATTCAATGCATATTTCATATAAATTCCTGTGATTTTATTTTTATTTTCCTTTAGCTGGAGAGTTAGTGCAAAAGAGGCCCTTAAACACCGTTGGCTGTCAGACCACAACCTGCATTACAGGCTCAGTCGCAAGGTCTTACATTCTCTACATCCGTCCTGAAAACAGTGAATCTTTTCATTGGCTTTATCGTGGTGGTCAGGCCCATATTCATTGAACTTCGCACTTGCTTAGATGATTGAAGTTCTTGCTACATGTTAAAGCACATGAGAAAAGGCTGTTATGAGTGTTTTCATGAACATGGGCTTGATGTTGCATAAGGATCTGCTTGTAAATGTGTTCAGTTATCGTTTTGCAAGTGAAACAAAAAAGGATTTTTTTATGATGTGCTGCCTTTATCCAGACTGCATTGTATGCTTGGCGATCTTGCTAGAATGGAAGGTGAAAATGTCATTCGTGGAGCTCATTAATAAATCAGGAAAAGTAATATAATATTCTTGTTAAGGATCATTAGCTGCTTGATACCTGCATGCAGTCCAGCCAGTTATACATTATAGTTAATTTATAGCTGCTGTTTCCATCTTTCAGCAAAACATCTTTGCTCTGCTGCAGATACCAGGTCATCCATGTGTTTACAAAGTTACATTTATTCCTAGTAATCTCTTACATGAGCAGTCCCATGTTGCCTGCAAACTGTGTGTGTGTGCATGTTATAAAAAGTTTAAAATAAACTTTCAGAAAAGATTTAATTAGTCATTTTCAGAAATGTAAACACCTTAAACGCAGCTGTGGATTTATCTTTTGCTTCTTTTTTTCCCGTTTTTCTTTTCAGAATACTGTATAATTTCAATCGAGAAATTTAGTATTTCTGAACTGAAACTTCACACACCATAGTATCCACAGGGATATGGAGTTTCTTGTGAATTTCTTGTGAACAAGACTCTGATAAACCAGAAGAGACATAGAGCTTATTCATAAAGAGATTGCTGCTCACTGTGGCCTTTTCACTGTTGCTCTTTACACAACAGCAAATGCCTTGTGGGGTAAGTTCATTAAGCCCCCATTAAGTTACCAGTTACTTGCTCTATATCCGACTGTAGTCTTTGCTTTGTGTTTTACACTTAGCAGGTTGTGCAGCTGATTCTGGAGCTCTTTTTCACTCTTGACTCCATGGCAGTGGGACCAACAATTGGATTTCAGTTGCAGTCTCTGAATGCCAGATCTTACACTGACAGACAAATCTTTGTTCAGTTGTATTGTTCCTTGATAAACAAAAAGGAGGAGCTGATAGTCTCCTATTCCTTTCATGTCCCAGAATGAGAAGGTGTTGCAGTGAATTCACTGTGTGGTATATCTTGTCAGACCACTAGATGGGAGTATCTCACCTACTTTTTGACAACAGAATAATCTGTATTTAGTTCAAATTATTGCCTGAAAATGTCTTTTTTAATCCCATCCCCAACCCTCATCCCTCAACCATCAAAGAGCTACAGATTCTGTACATTGACCTCAGATTATTAAAGGAACAGAGTAATTCAAATTAACCCCACTACAGAATGTAAAACCAATTTACTGACAGGTTAAAGAGGCACTGGTCTTCATGATAAATTGGCAAACCTTATTTGTCTGTGTGTAAGTGCACTACAGGGTGACATAAAACACATTGAAATGCATTCCTGGTCCCTTGTAGCTGAAATTGTTGCGATGAAAATGATGCAGGACTCTTCTCCCTCCACAAACAGGACCGAAGGCAATGATTTTGTAAAGCCTTTTTATGAAGACAGTGACCCTACCCCCTTTAACCATTACACTTTGCACTGCCACAATCTGCTTCCAGTCAACAGACAGGAGCAGAAACAGGGATCTAAACACATTGCAACCTATTTGATTGCATTGTTTTAGCTGAATGACAACATGGGTTGCAATTTAGGCATGATATGCAAAGGCTGAGAAAATAAGGAATAAAAGATCTTCATTTATTTTATATTGGCCTAGGCAATGATCTAAACTGTTTCAATCTAGAGCAGAATATTTGCAACCTCACCATAATACATCACTGTCAGTGTATTCTTCTAGTGCCCCAATGCAGGTCTACTTTAATATAAGAATAACAAGAACTGCAGTGCTAGATGTCATTGCTTGCATTTCTTGGCTAGCATGCAGGGAGTGATGTTTTATTGTGGCTGTGTTTAATGGGGCATAATGTTGATCTCATATATGCAAGTACAATATAAAATTAAGTTGCTTGTTCCAAAGTCTTAATATGACTGGGGGCATCTGTCTGCCAAAAGAACTCTGAGAACTCATTGTGCTGCAAGTAATCCTACAGTCTGCCCATCATTCTGTCTCCACTCTGCCCCAGACTTGCACACAGCAGAATGCGTAGGTATACACCACAGTGTGGATCAATCGCTGTATCTAAAATGTGGGATAGATTTATGTTTTTTTAGATTTTCTCGCTCCGCTATTAATTTCCCTTCTACGTAGCCTTCTCCAAAAAGAAACAGCCAAAGAATATAATCGGAGGCCTCTACCAGTGCTGGGGTATAATGGGCCGATACTTCATGGGTACACATGTTCAAGACCATTTTTGTAGCTCAATCATTAACAATATGTTTAACAATATAATCTCATCAGAGACTTTTGTTGCCCTTAGATATTGTTCTGTGTTTATATAGAGCTACAATAAATATCCAAACTGTGTGTAAAATGTTCATGCAGTTTGGGTGTTTCCTTTAGCTTTATATTAAATGGAAGATCCGTCTCTGTTAATCATCATGTCATGGCAGCCAGCAATGTAGCACATCAACTGAATTCTCAAAGCAAGTCGGTCCAAAATCTTTCTTTGATGACAGCACAATTCAGGATTGATGGTAACAGACCCGCTTCACCTTGCTGAAACTTGAAACAGTCTGAATAATTTATCTCACATTGGCTCTATTTATGTGAAATTGTTGTGTAGCATCACATTTGCTGTTGAATTGTTTGCACAGCTACTTTTGGCCATGTAACAGCTTGCTCATTGCAGGCATATTAGTCAAAAGGCATTGTGGCCTGAGTTGAGTCATAAATTGTGTACGTGTAGCTCACTGCACATACTAACACCGTGCTTCATCTACACCCACTACATTGTGCAGATCTCGCTGTGATAGGAACATAGCGAAAGATTTTTTAAGGCCAATGCCCTGCCCTTTTGTAATAACCCTCAATAATATTAATAATTATAATTCTTGCCTTTGATATAGTGCTTTATCATGTCAAGAAGACAGTTCAAAGCGATTCATGTGATATACTGTAAATTGCAGCAACAATTTATTTTATAGAACAATGTGCCTCTACTACCCAAGTATCTGTTTCTCTTTGATTCTACCATTACAGCTCAATTGCAAATCCATCCATGCATTGTGTGAGCATGAGTAATTTTGTATGTGTTATTGTTTTTGTTGCTGAGACAACTGAAGCAATTTGTAAGGTGCTCCTTGAATAGCTGTTTTGTGCTAATAATTACCATAGAAATGAACTGTTCCCTCTTGTTAACTCTGAGATATAACTTTCCCCTTCTTTTTATGTACACAGGGCAAGAATCAGTGCTGCCCAGTGCCTGAAGCAGACTTGGCTAAATAACATTGCAGAGAAAGCCAAACAGTGTAAGGTTCGTCTCAAGTCCCAGATCCTTCTTCAGAAATACATGGTGCGACGGCAATGGAAGGTACAATGATAGTTTACAACAGAATTTGATGTCTCATTTCCACTTTTTTATGCTCATCCAATTCAAATCAAAGTGTGGATCTATCAGCATGGCCCATTTTTTAACAACAAATCTGCTAAAAAATTATTCTAAAATTCTTTTTTTTATAAACTTTGACAGTTTTACACTTTCCTTTTAAGTGTTTAGTGCCACAGTATAATGTGAACTCTGACTAGTATGCTGTTCACAATCTGGGTTTACTCCCCAATGAGTCTTTTGGGACAAAATGCGACCTGGGTCTAGATTTACTCTATTTATGTAGCAGATCTAAGTGTCCAGAATTTACAACTACAACTAGCATTTATATAGTGGCCTTCCCACGGGGTAGCTTGACATTGGTGGAATCTGACACCGAGCCAGGGGGAGAGGGAGGTGGGAGGTGAACGTAAGCTTGACCAAAAGAAGGTCTTTAGGTGTGATTTGAAGGATGGAGGGGGCAAGGCAGAAGGATTGAGGGAGAGAGTTCCAGAGTTTTGGGGCATATTGGCTGATTGGCATATTAAGCAGATCAGATAGGTTGGGAGGTGGGGGGCATGAAGGGATTGAAAACGAGTGAGAGGATCTAGAAATCGATCCGTTCAGTAATTTGGAGCCAGTGGAACCTGGCAAGGACTGGTGTGATGGGGGTATGGAGTTTTGTGCGGGTGAGTATCCAGGTGGCAGAGTTTTGAATTAATTGAATTTTGTGTATGGAGGAGCTGGGGCGATCAGCGAGGAGGGCGTTGGAATAGTCCAGCCGGGAAGTGATGAAAGTTTAAACAAGGATTTGGGCTTTGTTGGGTACATACGGAGGCCAGCAATGTGACGGAGGTGGAAGAAAACGGTCCTGGTCAGGGAATGGATGTGGGGTGGAAAGCAAACTGGGGATTGAACCTGACGCCTAAGTTGCGCACGGGTTCAGTGAGTCTGAGGGAGAGGCAGGTTTGAGATGGGTCTGAAGTTTCTGAGATTGGAGGGATTGAGGGTAGTTTTTTTTAAGAGGAGAAGTGATGACAGCGGTTTTGAGGGGGAATGGGACACAGCCTAAGGAGAGGGACTGGTTGATTGCGTCAGCTAGCAGTAGGCAGAGGAGGGGTGGTTGAGTGACCAGAAGCTGGATGGGGAGGGGATCGAGGCAGCAGGTGGTGGGCTCCATCTGAGTGATGGTGGGGTAAAGGGAGCAGGGAGGAGATAGGGGCAAATGAGTGTAAGTTGGGGGCCATGGTGGGCGACATGGGGGTAGGGGAAAAGGAGAATATTATCCATCTCAGAGATAAAGAAATTCAGGACCTCTTCGCGCTTGGCATCAGAATTGAGAATCAAGGGTGCTTGAGAGGAAACATGGTGGTGGATAGTGGAGAACAGGATTTTGGTTTTGATTTTGTCCTCACAAAGGGCTGTGAGTAGAACGTAGTTTTGGTTTGAGAGAAGGAGCAGAGGGAGATATGAATATGCTCATGCCACAATTGGTTTTGTGCCGTCTGGGCTTGAGCGACCAGGTTTGGGATTTGAGGGGGTGGAGATTACTATTGTACCAGGGGGAACGGGTAGGCTTGGAGACAGAGCTGGTTTTCAAGGGGACAAGGGAATTGAAAGTTGAGGAGAGGTGATCGTTTAGCAGCTTGAGTCTGGATCGCTGCAAGTGGAGAGACAGAGAGAGAAAGAAGGTTCAAGAATGAGAGGGTGTTTGTGAGGGACTCCAGTGGAAGCTGTTTCCATAGGTGAAAAAAGATGGTTGTGGGCTTGGAGGAGGGGAGGGTGATATGAGAGGAGAAGGAGATGAGGAAGTGGTCTGAGATGGCCTTGTCTGTGATGGACAGATCAATGATGTCTAGACTGTGGGTGATGATGAGGTAAAGGAATTGGCCACGGTTGTGGGTTAGGGAGTTTACATGGAGGATGAGGTTTATGGTGGAGAGGAGGGCGGAAAAGTCAGGGGAGATGGGGCAGGGGGAATGGAGATGAAGATTGAAATTATGAGCAGGCGTTTTGTGCAGAGGAACAGGAATGAGAGGAGAGAGGAGATATCTGCAAGGAAGAACCCAGGAGGTTTGGGGGGCAGTAAAATATGAGAATTTTGAAGTGAGAGAGGAGGGATGGTACAGGGTGAGGTGCTCAAAAGAGGGGATACAGCCAGAGGAATAGAGGGATAGATCAATGAAGGTTTGAAGATGAGGGTCACCTCACCATCGCATTTGTTGGGGTGGGGGGCTGTGGTGAGAAGTGTAACCAGGTGGGGAGGATTCAACAAGGGGGACCGGGGAGAGCCAGGTTTCCATAAACCCCCAAATGTCTAATTACTCGGCCAGGATGAGGTCGTGGATTTCCAAGAGCTTTATTAGAGAGGGAGCAAACATTTTGAAGCCAATGTGAATAGGGCGCAGGCAGGGGAGGGATTGGAGGTGGTTGTAGATTGTGTGGGGGGGAAACGACTGTCGAGCATGAGAGGAGAGAGTTAGGAAGGATGTGGATGAGAGAAGGTGATTTATCTGTTGCAGGCGGGGGAGACGGGTTTTGCGGACTAAGTAGAATATGGAACAGTCAGGGTGGCTGCTCTAGGACCACCATCGCCGAGTGCCACAGTGAGCCCGGCGGAGGATGCCCAAGCTGGAGCTGGGGGCTGTGAGAGCGTCCAGGAGGGAGAGAAGACGGGGAGGGTGGTAGGAGAGAAGGACTGAGTGGGAGTAACGAACAACAACAGCAACAAAATTAAATTTATAGAGCGCCTTTCACGTCGGGAGGCCGTCCCAAGGCGCTGGACAGTCAAGGATCAGGAACCGAGCATGGGGGTGGGGTGGTAGGAACGGGAGCATTTTGGGAGCGTGTGGATCGGGTCAGGGCTGGCAGGCAAACACGCACGCAAGACTGGGAGCAGAGCGATCAGTGGGGCATCGTCAGTCCACAGGCATGACAGCTGCGAGAAGCTAGAGGAGACTCTATACAAATAGAGTCCATCACCTGTGTTCTTGCCTGGCTTCACTGGCTTCCCATCCCTCAGAGAATCGAGTACAAACACTCATTCTCACCTTCAAAGCCCTCCACGGTCTTGCTCCTTATTACCTCTCCGACCTCCTCACCCCATATCATCCGGTCTGCTCGCTCCACTCAGTGGACACCAGCCTGATTCAGGTCCCCCGCACTTCCTGGTCTACCGTTGGCGATCGGGCATTCAGTATCTCTACCCCCACACTTTGGAACTCTATCCTACAGTCCCTCCACCTCACCCCCTCTCTCGTCTCTTTCTAAAGACCTTCCTCTTCGAATGTGCCTTTGGCCACCCTCCCACCCCCACACCCCCTGCCCTCCACCTCTCCTGACCCCAACTCCCAGCTCGGGTCCAAAAACTTCTGACTATCCAGCACCCTGGGACTCTTTCCGACGTGAAGGGCTCTACATAAGTATAATTTGTTGTTGTTAATCTTGAAATCAGTTTTCAGTAAGTTCTTTTGTGAACTGCAGAAAATCAGCTTAAAAAATAAGGTTGAATTCAGCAAACTATCACATTCTGAATGCTCTGAAATCCTATACAAATAGAGTAAAGCTGGATCCAGGTGGAATTTCTCCGCATAAATGTGGGTCAGATGTTGAAGAAAGATAGACGCCAGCAAAATTCTCCAATATCTCTTGCAATACACAACATTTGAATTTGTGAATCTAAGTAGCCCATATTTTGGATCTGCGCCCCATGCTTCATTCTGTCTCACTATCTGGCTCTTGTACCTCTAGTATGTGTTGTTAAAATGAATAAACTAGATTTTTTTCCATGCCTCGCACCAACAGAAACAAAGAATGTTGAATCCTCTAGGTGTATTTCTATATTGCAACACCACTTGGTAAACTTTTCAATAAATGCTGAGTGGATACTTCTTATTCTCTCTGGGCGTAGAACCAAATTTCATTTATTATGAACTTATTGCATTTGCTGTTCAATGTTTTTTTTTGTTTTCATTTTTCAGTTTAGTTTTACCTTTTCTCCCTGTTCTATTTTTCCCACTGAATGCTACATTCCACCTGCATTGTAGAAGATGGCCCATTACAGCACTACCATCCACAGTTTGGGAGTTGTATTCTTGTTGGGCAGGACTGTTCCTCTCCGGTTCGCCGAGAATACTCAATCTAGTGGTACAGCCTGGAATTCCTAAACCGAATAAACTGAAACCGATGGGACAGGGGAAGGTGGTGTGGTCCAATGCAGTGAAGAGTACCTATCATTGGTATTACCCTATTCTATGTTTGATAATACTCAGAAAGATTGTCTGACTCACTTCAGGCATGTAACAAATGTCACCGATTCACTTCACTGCTACATGAGGTAATTGATAAAAACGGCACACTGCCTCAAGCCTCTGTCAATGCCCCCCTTCCCTTTAACCCTCCATTGCCAACTAGTTAAGAGAAACTTGTGAATCTGTGGGACTGTCGGCAATTGTTTTAATTTTATTTCTCTGCAGAAAACCTATCATGGAGTAACAGCTACAAACCGATTCAAGAAATTCAACAATTCTGATGCTTCAGCCTCTGTAGAAGCATGAGCTGCCTCTGCTAGTTGGATCAACACACCTTTGCTTTTCATCTACAGCAGTAGAAAACTGGATACGATACACATCACTGAACCACCTTACTTCTTTGCTAATCCAAGGCTGTTAGATAATAATAATAATAATCCTTGCATTTGATATAGTGCCTTATCTCATCTTCGAGACGTCTCAAAGCGCTTCACAGAATATACTATAAAGTGAATTGACTGTGGGCGAAAATCTAAACCTAGATCAATCTAGGTTCAGAAATTTGAATTTCAGCAGCACGAGCATAATTCACAAAACAACTCAGAGTTATTTTGATGTGTTATTCTTTCTAAAAAAAAAGCAAGCATAATTGTAGTCTGATATGTCAGTACTGTCTCTACTTACAAAATATAAATATGTAATTTATTGATATTAATTTGAGGGCCAGAGTGTGCATCAATATCATTTAATTTGTAATTAATATTTTAGTGTCCTTGTTTAATGCAGTCTTTAGGCAGAAGACAGAATATATTCCCTTTTTAATCACAGAAAACCAATTTCAGGATGGCCTTCAATTGCAGTAAAATTGTTTTCACTGGAGAAAGTGGGAATCAAGTGATTCAGTTGAAATTCATTCGATGCAACTTCTAGCAGTGAATCCTGCTAAATATTAGGAAAATAACATTTAAGAAATACTTTCAGAAGTGATACAATGTTAAACAGAGGAATTTGCTTGACCAACTAAACTCTTGATATATTCGTCACTCCAGGGAAAAGAGCTCAGTGACTCTATGTCAGGGGTGATTATGTAGGCATGAGTCCTCCGGGGCCAAGAGGAGGGGATGTAACCAGGAGGACCTACACAAATACACACTGAACCTGCGCAGAGTAAGCAGTTCTTAGTGTGACAGAACAGCCCCCCCACCCCACAATTGGCAGTTTATTTGTTAAAACTTGTTTAAGTTAAGTACAGTATACGTTTATGTGTAGACATATGTACTGTTGTTCATTTTGCTTATTTTAACAACCTGAATTGCTCAGGTTTTAACAATCAGGCAGAACCTCACAGAAGGCAAACTCTAAAATTTCCACTCACAGAGATCTTGCCACAACAGTCAAAGTAGTTACCACGTGACTGGCTGAGGGCGAGGGCAATGTTTTCCTGCACTAGGCCATTCATTGCAAGAGTTCACTGTGTGGTGTTCAAGGTCCTCATCTTCATTTTTAAATCTCTTCATAGTCTTGCCCCACCCTACCTTTGTGATCTTCTAAATCCCTACCAACCATCTCACTTCCTCCGCTCAGGCACTGGCCTGCTCCATGTCCCCAGCCCTGCCCACCCCACCATCGGTGGTCAGGCCTTCAGCCTTTCTGCCCACACCCTCTGTCATTTCATCCCAGAGTCCCAGAGTCCCTTTGCCTCATCCCTTCCCTCGCCTCCTTGAAGGTCTCTCTTAATACCTCTCTCTTTGACCGTGTTGTCAGTCATCTCCCCTCCCACAACGGTCTTGGCCCCCACTCCTCCTGAATCCAACCCCCAGCTTGAATGCAAACCCTAGACTGCCCAACACCTTGGTATGTCCTCCAAATGTGAAAAGCACATTTAAGCTCTCCGAGGTGCCATTCGGCATGAAGGGCGCTATATAAATGCAAGTTATTGTTCTTGTTGTAAACGCTATTTGTTACTGTTGTGGTTGATTTATGTTTCAAGTACTCTGTCATATTTATTGCAGGCCTCTCGCCCAAGCTAACTTTTAATCCATGTCTCTTTTCATGAAACTTGCAAAAGTTGCACTCTTAATGGCTTATTTTAAACAGGGAATCAAACTAGTCTGCAGAACCAATGTTCAGACATTCCCACAAACCTATCATGTTGTTCTCCACGAGACAGTTATGCTTGAATTTGCGAAGGAAATTACACTTCCCGTATCCCATTTTATTTTTAATTTAAACTGAAACAAATAAATTAAATTGTGACAATGTTTTTAAAGCCGCTGCAATGTGAGACATGGTTGTGAGGAGCAATGGATTTGAAATTTAATATTTCAATGTTCAAAGCTAATCTGACTGTGTTTTCACTACAGATCATCTGGGTATTTTCATGATGGAATCCCTATTGATTATAAATGCCTTAATGGAGTTAATGCAAATACAAATATTATCAAATATTATCAATTTAGATTTTCTCACTTGAAATTATTTTTTTGCAAAACCCAAAGTATTCAAATCTTTGAATACAACTGGTAATTCTCCTGATATTCAATTTTTATGATTTTTTTCTCCCCCTCCCCCTGTATGGTGCAATATTTAAGCCATGAGCAAATTGTTGCAAAAAGTGTTTGTTGTTGTGGTTTTCACTTTGATAATTTCATAATAATCCGGCAGAGTGTGTTTTTTCATAACTGCATATTACTATATTAAGATTATGTACTAACTGTGTGTTGCTGGGAAAATAACTACATTCTCTATGTAATGGTGGAAGGAAATCTTATATTTTAGAAACTCGGCAAATAGTAGACATATGGTTGTGAATACTGTGAAGATGGGGCTATTAGTATGGTATCAGTAGCCCATCATTGTAAGGAATCTGCTGAATATGTGTAACTCTCATTAGGTAGGGGCTTTGCCAGTTCAGATACAGCTAGAATTTGAGAAAACAAGACTAGACACATCAAATACACTTGAATGTCTGAATTTTGAAGGACTTTGCTTAATGCACAAGGAGGTTATTTTGTTGGTGTTATTTTGTTCAGGTGATGTGTAGATTTTTACCATGATACATGATTTTAAACTCCCCCCAATCGAGTGCTCATATTTGAGACATCTTGTGAATGCAAGCAATGCTGTATTGTCTGAGTCTAGAAACTGTAGAATCTTCTCTTCACCTTCCATGAAGGCCAGTTTGCCAACAAGGAACTACCTAACGTAAGATATGTCACTTGGATATGAGGTCCGGCCTCCTGCTTACAAATCATAGTTGAAATGCTTATGGTATTTAGCGATAGTTCACATTGACTATGTGTTCACTTTAGGATGTATTGGCATTTCTTTTTGTGACCTTAAAAGTCACTTCAATGTTAAACTTTCCTCGTAATGTGCTTTCTTTGTCCTAATGAACTGAAAAAATATATGCATTACACAGTGATGGAAGTTATTTCCTTTATAAGTCACGGTTTGTTTGATTGAGCCGAGATTGTTACAAGTGGCACGTTTGTTCAGAATAAAACCACTGGTATTATATATCTAGTAAAAACAACCACTGTGGTTCATAATTGATGCTGACTTTGTTTTTCGTTTCAGTCATCAATAGCAATTTAAAAGATACAGCATGTTATAACAAGTAGCCTTTTTTAAAAAAAACTTAATTGCATGGCCATTACTTTTTTGATTCAGTTTAAAGCCACTAGAGGTCACTTTAAACAAATGTAACTCCTAATTCAGAAACTACAGATTGTGGTCTTCTTCCCCCCCATTTGCCTTTGCGTAAACGAGTCTTGAGACTTACAAAGTGACTTACAAAGAGACTTACAAAGTTGATCACGCCATCCTCCTCCACCGCCTTTCCTCCGCCATCCACCTCAGTGGGACCGCACTCGCCTGGTTCGAGACTTATCTCATAAACCCCCACCAGAACATCTGCACAAATGGCTTCTTCTCCCGCTCTCACCCGGTTACCTGTGGGGTACCCCAAGGATCCATCCTTGGACCCCTCCTCTTTCTGATCTACATGCTCCCTCTTGGAGATGTCATCCGCAGACATGGGGTACATTTCCACATGTACGCGGACGACATCCAACTCTATTTTTCCACCTCTCTTTATGACCCCCAGTCCCCTGATGTTCTGTCAGCCTACCTGTCAGACCTCAGGGGCTGGAGGAGCGCAAATTTCCTTCAGCTGAACGTTGACAAGACGGAAGCCATACTCTTTGGCTCTCGTCAACGTCTAAAATCTCACGCCTCTCACCTCCTCCACCTACCCGACCTCCCCCTAAAACTCTCCGAATCCGTACGCAACTTAGGCATCAGGTTCGACCCCCAATTATCCTTCCTCTCCCACATCCGGTCCCTCACCAACACCGCCTTCTTCCACCTCCGACTCATCGTTTGTCTCGGCCAATACCTCTCTCCGAAGGCCGCTGAATCCCTAGTCCATGCCTTTGTCACCTCTCGGCCGGACTATTCTAATGCCCTCCTTGCCGGTCTCCCATCCATTACCATTCATGAAATCCAGATCATTCAAAACTCTGCCGCCCGCATTCTCACTCGCACCAAACTCCGCTCCCTGATCACCCCAGTCCTTGTCAGACTGCACTGGCTGCCTGTCCCAGAGAGGATCGACTTCAAGATCCTCACCCTCATATTCAAATCCCTCCACTCCTCTGCACCCCCCTACCTCTCTGACCTCCTCTCTCCTCAAAACAGCACCCGTTGCCTTTGTTCCTCCAGGGCTGGCCTCCTCCTCATCCCCCAAGTCCTCCGCTTCACCCTCGACCACTATGCCCTGAGGTTCTGGAATTCTCTTCCTCTCTCCCTTCTCCTCACTCCCTCTCTTCCTATTTTCAGGTCTCTGCTGAAGACCTTTCTCTTCAACCGCGCCTTTGGTCACCTTTCTCCCCATCCCCCTGGTTCGACCCCGAGATCAGTTACTGTGAAGCGCTCTGAGACACCATCCGGCTTGGAGGGCGTTATATAAATCCAAGTTGTTGTCTGTCATCTTATAAAATGACTATAGCCTCACAGAATGTCTAAACCCATACAATGTTACTATAGTCTTGCAAAGTGACTGTAGTCTTACAAAGTGTCTATAGCCTTACAAAGTGACCATGGCTGTGTGAAACAACAGGGTCAGCCCATGGAGAGATGTGGAAACTGAGAATTTGATACAAAATCAATACAAATATTATAGAATTATCTGAAAGATGAGGTGTGCTGTTGGCAGACTCAAGTGGGGATCTTGCATGCTGCACTCATAATCCGGAACATTGCGACACTCAGTGGGAAATTATTGTGAGACAAGTGCAGTGTTATGGATCAAGAGGAACCTTGAAGTCATTGATTCGCAGATCCAAGGGGCATCCATCCCAATTGCTGACTCATATTGGTATATGGGGGGTTTAATGGGCATTAACTTTGCTTGGACTGTCCTTCGTGACTGTGCTGATGTGACCTGCCATGCCATGGAAATTCC